GGTGGGGGGGGGTCTGAATTGAGCGATCAATTATTAGACCCGGACGTCCCAACACTTGCTTCGCAAGACAAACTCAAGGTATCCCCTAAAGGGCTACCTTTCGTGACCATCGTCACCATAAATACTAAGATCACAACGGAGGTAGACTCTAGTGCAAATGGAAGAACAGTCAGAAGACAAGTGGTCGGACCTTGCCCGTGCGTTCAAATCCTGCGAGGTGATGTTCGTCTTCGTCTGGTTCATCAGCATGCTCTTGACATCACTTGCATTTCGTGCCACGACAGCACTTTTGGTGGCGTTTGAAGAGCTCACAGAGCTCGACCCAAGGAAACCGGTGGTCTTGGGGTTGCCGGCTACAATGGAAGCAAGCAACGCGCACACACATGCAGAAACAAAGAAATTGCTTCTCGCTGCCATGGCGTCTCAACTGCCGACAAGTCTCGAATTTTGAGCTGCCGGCTGAGAAGTACACGTAATTATACAAATAATCCTACGCAACCAAACCCTGTAAATTTGTAGGGTCTCAATCGGAACCTCGGGTATTCTTGTGAAATCAAAAATACCTCAGGTTTGTTCTTAAAACCTCGGGTCTTGTTTTTCAAAACCGTGCTAAACCCATATTTAACCTGTACTAAACCCAAATTTAACCGTACATACCCGTACTAAACCCGTATTTTAGTACTGGTTTGGAAAACCTGGAGTTTCCTTCAGAAACCTAGGTTTTTCCATCGACCCTACAAATTTATAGGGTTTGGGTGCGTAGGGAAGACAATCTACACGAATTCCACATAACAAGATATAGCTAGTAAAACTGCCAACATGGAGTAGCTTTGGTCAATCAAAGAACGGATGGGTGTGATTCCCGAGGATGAATGACACATGTGACATATCCCTTTAGCAAACGGTGATATCTGCATGTCAGGTGCAAGACCAGTGCAGGATGTTCTACTTGAGTTCCACAATTTCCATTAAATGATATTAAATGCAAATGTTCCTTCCCCACTCTTCCTTCCTTTAACAACCCCCAATCCCTCCAAGTGTCTCTGATTCCACATGCTCCAGCCGCTGCTTTTGCGCCTCCTCTGAGCGCCCCAGCTGCGCGGTCAAGGCCGCGCTGCTCACAGCCTGCTGTGCTGCAAGGGCAGCAAACTCCGTGGCCAGCCTGGTGGAGATGAATGACTTGGCGGCATGGTGATTGAGATGTTCTCCAAGCATTTAAAAGAAAACATGTGTTCAATCAAGTGAATCATGTGCTATCCCTTCTTGGTTTTTGTAACTCCCGAACTTCCTCGGAACTGGCAGTACTATGCAGCACTTAAAGAGTTTCCCTTCACAAATCGGCAGCTCAGAAGTTGGTCCAAATTAAGGGCCTTTTGGTCGGTCAAGCGAAGTGATTCACTTCCACATTGCAAGTTCCAAGCCGACATGACATCGGAAATTAACAAAAATAACAAAAACAATCTGATTCACATGTCCTTTGGTGTCCTTTCTGGGGTAGTCAATCCTGGACCCCAAACTCGGTGCCTCTGTTCAGTAGCTCTTTGGTGCTTCTGCCAGCTGTCTGCCAGGCTTTGCATGTCACCTCGCCACCGCTCCGGACGTCACAGCTCGGCACCGTCCGCATGTGCTGTAACCAACAAACCCTTTTGTGGGGGCACAAGCAGAAAGCCATGGCATGTATCCTCTATAATCACTGGAATGATGAAACGTATATATATATATACACATACAGTTGTTCTTCTCCAAATAGCTGATCTAAGACATACACCTAAACAGGGTCTGATTGACCCTATCATGTCTCGTTGTAGCGGTCCTGATAAAGAAATGCCAAAAAGTATCAAACAGTCACCGTTTTCCAACGAGAGCCGGTCTAAGTATGGCCACGGTTTCACAGATTGTCTGCAAGTTCCCAGGGGCAGGCCATGCGTTCCGTCAAGACAAACAAAGATGTTGCACAAAGTATGCTCCTGCCAAACAACTCTCGTTGGCAACCTCTGAAAGCATACGTAACTGTAGGTTCATTCATACATGTTCACAGAAACCGCGCCAACCGAGCCGGACAGGCCGACATGTTGCAACCATCTGCCAACAATCAATGGAATCCGTTGGCTCAAGGGACCTTCCCTTTCCCTCCCGGGAAGCTTCCTCCATCCGCCTGCTAAGGTGGTCATCTCCTCGGTGAGCGCATTGGTCACAAGCCGCTCCTCTTGGACAAACTCTTGGAGATCTTTCTGCAGGTCCTGCAGGATGACGATCCCCCCCGGTTTCGATCCTCCGTTTCGATCCCTCGGACGTTCTCCCCCGATAGACAGTAGGGGACGACGGTAGGCCTGCCTTAGACATCCACACTGTGGTAGGCCTTAGCGAATGAACCAAATGGATAAAAACTGAAAGTCCATTTGTGTATATTTGTATGATTCCCTGCTTGCTTAACGAACCCAGTCCTTGATTTTGATAGTCCTTTAGTATCCTTTAGTGACTGAACTGACTTTGGATCAGGTGTTGTTTCTGGCTACTTGGATGCAAGCTACCGGTCAGTCAGCCGGTTGTTCCTCTTACAGTAACCGATTCCGATTCTCAAATGTCAGTTCATGAAAGCCCTTCGTTGAACCCAGCCGAACCACGCGCCGGAACTCGCCCACTCTCCGTCCCCACTCGCCCACTGGGCCCTGGAAACTCGCCTGTTTGTCTCGCAGGGCTTGCGCTTCCAACCTTGGAACGACAAAAACGAGAATTGCTGAGGCTTGATGGCTCCTTCTGGCAGCGCTACGGTGCCCTTTTGGGGCATCTGTACAAGTGCAAGATAGTGGAAGGAAAATTGAAAACATCTAACTCCTATCAACCCACATTTTCCTCGGAAAACACTCCAAAACACGGGGTCACTCCTTCAGCATGGTATTGGCCATGTGACGTGTGCATTTGCGAGACGGTCACTCAGGCACACTGATCAGTAGTACATCCTGAACAAACGCACGTTTCCAGCTTGTCTATGTCTATGTAGTACTGCCCCAAGTACTGCATAGAACAAACAGAGTATACAAATGTATATTGGTATCAAACATGTATTCTGCATTAGTTTATATTTTTTGTATCATATTATGGTCCAACGTGAACATGTCTGTGCAAAGGTTCATGCAGTGCAAAACACATCGTGGGCAGTGGGCATTGTAGTTTTTTAGCTGGTTTAAGGTTTTTGAAGATGTGGGCATCAGACATGTCCCTGCAGCTACTAAACATCAGGCCAAGGTATTGCTACATAACTGTCGTTTTCCTCTTGCCAGTTTTTCCTGCTCCAGTCACCGACAGTCACCTCAAACTCCTTCCCCCGACTCAGAGTAAACAACCCACAGCCCTCGTGCGTCGCACCGGGCCAGGGCACTTCTGCCTCACTGTCTCGATCTCTGTCTCCCAGCGCGCGCGCTGCTCGTTGAGCCGCTCGGTGGTCAACTCCTGCAAACAGGGCCCCAAAAAAGCTGAGATAGCGACGAGCAAGTCGTTTCTTCCAAAGGCTAAACAAACAAAGCAAACATCGAACCCAAATCCCGGTGTGCTCGCCCGACATAGGCCAAAGGTGGGAGTTGTGCTGGAGAACACGCTCAAAATTCTGAGAGGAACTCAATGTCGTGTTCGTTTCCAAATCAAACGATTCACCTCCAACGGCCCACCTGCCTCATGTGCCTGCAGCCGCTTCTGCAACGACATCAAGCGTTCAGCTTCCGCCTCTACCGTTGCGCAGGTCTGCTTCGAAGCCTTTTTCGCATCATAAGATTAAGAACCTGCACATTTTATTGTTGAGACCACAGGCCGGAAGTCTTTCAATCTTTAAATTGGATCCCTGGATCACCCACGATTCGGAACACGCGCAACTAACTCAGTGACGTCATTCAGACGGGACAGCCGTAACACGCCGGAACGGATCGTAACGGTGTGAGCGTATCTCAACACCCAGACATCAGACCTCTTCTGGTTGTCTAGAGGGGGGGTCGTGTCTCCCCATGTCTCAACTATTTGGGGATCACAATCTTTCAGAAATAGGAATTGGAATGGAATTTATATCCGGGTTAGACTATCATGACGTTGTGAACCCTTATGTTCAAGTTTGTGCAACGTGTTGTAGCTACAAAATGAGACGGACGGATCTTGTATGACCGACAAAATGCCATAAAATGCCGTTTTCCCACCCAACATGTCTGAACCACAGAATGAACTGTTATGAAGATTTCTGAGGTTGGTCCCCAGCAAGGGCCAACAGTCCAAGCAACCAAGCAGCAACGCATAGCTGCCCTATGAGATGCTATGCTTATCCATGTGGATCTGTTTTGAGCTTCATGTGTTTGTCTTGTGGCAGGTGGATCAGGAAGATTCCACCAGATTTCCGGCAAGAGAAATGCCACGCCGAGGCGTAGGCTACTCAGATGCTCGTGGCTCGCGCACAGCCAGAGTGAGTAGGAAAAAGCACGGTTGAATGGATTGGCAAGGGCAAAGCGGGCACGGCACTTCTTAGTAAAAGTCTTGAGATGCCACGTCACCAAACCACCACCCCGCGTGTGACATGAAAGCAACACATGTTGCAGACGCGGCTTGGCTCTTGGCCTTTTGAAGGCGTCGTACTCGATGCGCCGGGCTCTTAGGGCAACTTGCCTTTTTTGTTTAGTCTATTGAAATTTCTTGAAATTCCCTGGGCAAAGGCTTGGGGCAAGACCACAGTGGGCGCGCCCTGTAGTTCTGCACGTTCGCCTGACGGAAAGTGGGCAGGCGGATAGGGAGCATGCATCAGCAATAAACAATCTTTGCTGCGCCTGCTTCTGTGCTGGGTCTTCCGTTTTGAGGGCGTTGACGCCGCCACCTGCACATGAGCGTCTTTCGCACGGCTGGAATGGTTGGACTCAAGTAAGAGGCCTTGGCCGAGGAGGTGGAGGCGAAGCCTCTCGCTCGATTCGAAATCACTAGAGCTGTCTGGTTGGTGCGTGAGATTTGTTGCATCAGCTTGGTTTACTTGCTTCCATGTTGCTTCTCACTGGCAGTTATTTTCTGCAGGAGGATGGAGCAAGGATGGGTGCCAGTGAAAGCAAACTTGAAAGACGAAGGAACTGAGCAAGATGGCATGAACCCTGGCAAGGTGTGACGAGCAGCAAACGCTTTGCACTTTCAGTGATTGGGCGGTGTCTTGTGTAATATCACGCCGAGACACTGGCATTGTTCTTTTGCGTTGTTGGTCATCAGGCTTGCAACTTAGAGAATACAAGTTGTGGCTTCACCAACACGTCATGACTTCATGCTATTTACCTCTTCCCCCGCTTGACGCTTTGGCGCTGCAGCAGCTGAGGGTGCGTTAGATTGGCCGTTGGCAGTGCAGCTTTGGTTCATGTACACACATCGATTGCTGGCCGTGAGAACAGGCAGGCTGGCAAAACATCGGTTGAGTGTATCGATCACAGAAATGGATCAGACCAGGTATTTCGTGTACTGTATTGTCCCCACTGCATCGCCCTCTCAGTCAATACGATGCAGTCTCAGCCTGGACTCTGACATCCTCGAGGAGCTTAGGGATAAATCTGAAAAACGCAAGCGGATACAAAACGAAAAACAGAATGCAGAGTGAATTCTCCCGTGCTGCCAAGCCATCGCAACACATGAACGTCCCAAGCAAGCTCAGGAAGGCACTTGCCCGAAAAACGTAAAAACTGATGTGACAAGCAAGTCTTCAGTTCAAGGTACACCGGCTTCAGACGGACCTCAGTGCTACAGATCCTTCAACAAGAAGGCGCAAAAAACTAAATACCGAAAAGTTATAGAAATATAAATAAAATGATTGCAAGCAGGGACATATCCCTTGCATTGCGTCCCCTAACAGTCGTGCCACAACTTTTTAGGCAGAAAGCAGCTCATGCCTGATGCAGAATTGCTCAAGCCAATCAACGCCGTCCAAGAGGAGACCCAATTTACACAGTGCTTGCGCACAAATCCAAAAGGGTACCCCGCATTAACTACAAGCATAAACAAAGCTTCCTTCAAACTTAGGATACGCATGGTTTGGTTGGATGAGAGATAAAAAAACTCTACACATCAATCCCCGAACAGCATTGATTCGCGCTGGGGGGGAATCCAAGAACACCAAGGCATAAGCGGAGAACTATCCACAAGGCGGTAGCAAAACCCTGCAAAAATGTCTGGTATTTGCGGCGCCAAAGCAAGCTGGCTCCCATTCCAGACACACTTTAGGCCGACAAAATTGCCAGGGTCAGCTTCCTCAAGCACCATAGTCCCATGTTGGAACCGTCGCAAGAAATGTTTCCAGCACCAATCTATTAACACAGTTTCATTCAAACCAGACGTGGAATTCCACGCCGCAAAAGTCCGGAGGTCATCCCGGTAAGAAACATCAAGCGCCAGGAAATTGGCATGACGAAAATGAACCAACTTACAACGTGAATCAGGAAAAGAGACGCAATTATCAAGGTTGCTCAGCGCCATACCTTGGGAGTATTCCCTAAACCATTTCCAAAGGCGGAGGAAAGCAGAACTCAGAGCATCTCCTTGGGGGACGCCTTTGAGTTCCAGCCCCAAGTGGCCGTCAATAGCCATGTAATTAGTTTGCGCCAAATGTGCGAAAACACTACCAATACGATCAAAGGAACAATACTTCCATCCAGGGTCGTCGCGCCTGCCAAGCACGCCCTTGGATTGGAGACTTCGCCCTGGAACACTAACACCTGAAACATTGCGTTGCACCCAATACTGAGCCAACGCATTCCACATATTCAGGCCATCGGGACATGGGAGGTGTCTAAAACAATCCTTCATGTCCGCTGCAGCAACAGCACCGAAGTCAAAACCATACCCTGCAGAGAATTGGTTGAATTCATGGGTCATGTCCAACATTTCATGTACAGACATGAAATCACTGAAACCGTGTTTTCGAAAAGCATCCAACAGTACATCCAAAGCCTTGGATACCAACGAATGTAAAGCGCAACAAGGGGTTGCATGCTTATTGACAATCAACCGAAATTTATGTCCAGGCGCCTTCCATTTTGGGAGGACCGAGACTGAACCAACTGGCCAAGAAGACCGTGGAACGCATGTGAGAACAGGCAGGCTGACAAAACAGCGGCAGCAGAAAAACGCTTCTCTTCATTGGGCAAGTCATTGGTTCTGTGCCTTTTTTGTGAGTATGCTCTTTGAGCTGGCAAATTGGACACGAGGCGCCCCCCGTAAATATATTCGGGCTTCCCTTCACTAAATTACTTTACGATGCTCTACACTGACTGCGGCGCTTAACGACACTTACACACCACATGTTCCTTAAACCCATGTTCATGATACATTTGTGTGGATACAGGCACCGACTCCACGTGAACCACACGTGAACAGACCATGACCCCCATCGGGCCCCAGCTCACCGACCTCTCTCAGGGGTGGGCGGCAGGCCGCGGGCGCTAGTCGCTACTGTAGCCCCCTAAATAGCTTTTCCACCTGATGTTACATGTAAGACATCTTCCATCAGCCGACATCAGCCTCAGCAGACCTCTTCTTCTTTTGGTCCAGATTGCTACAAAATGCCTTGTCAAGTATCGACTCGTTTAAAAGCATTGTCATTAGCAACTACAAAATGCTTCTACGAAATGTTCTCTTCGATGTCATGTTCAATAATTACCTACTATGTTACTATATGAAATGGTCACCTCATAGTGGCCTCGAGCACGCTCATTTCATAGTGGAAGTTCTAAGACGGATAAATTTATGGATTCTGTGTTCACTGTGTTCTCTTCACAAACCCTCCGCCCGGACCGCCTTGAGTCGTTCGCTGCGTTCCTCCTCAATGAAGGCCTCAATCTGCTCGCGGGTTTTGCTCCGCTCGCTGGCCACCTGTTCGTCCAAGCGCTTCAGCAAACGCTCCTGGTCCGATCGAACTCGCCGCTTCTTGTCGGGATCCGAGGTCAGGATGGTCTGGGGGGGGCCGAGATCTTGGGTCTCAAAAAGGCGAGTAATGTGGCTCCTCGGCTGTCTGCACCACCTCCAGCAGTTCCTGTTTGGCTTCAGCCGCCTGCTCTCCTCAGACATGACAACACCTACACCGAAGTCTGGTTGCTCAGACCCCTTGGTTGAGCTTCACGTGTTACCACTTCGGAATGAAGGTCATGCCCACTCTGTCCGTTCTCTGGAGGGCTGACAAAGCCATAAAGGTTCACTCCCAGAAGCTGTCGTGGGAAAGTTGACATGGTCCAGCAAGTCACCTTCGCATGATCCAAGGGTAAACATGCCCAGCACACCCGCCCAGCCAATCCCATCCAAATCCCAGCACCCCGCCTTGGGCGAAATGCCGGTTACATTGGATCTGGAATTTGATGTCCCGTCAAAATGGAAGACACCCAAAGACCAATCGTACCAGTAGAAAGGTACATGCCAACCCACGACCACTGCAAACAGGGATGTTTTGCAGAAGACTATAGAAACCTTGCATGGCATCAAACCACTGTACCTGTCACTCATAGGTTGGGATTCCCTTTGTCTGTCTGGCCATCGACCCATGGATGATGTCCATGTTATGATTTGAGTCTTCTTCTGGGCAAAGTAGGCAAAGTACTCGGTTGCGGATTCGGGCGGATTCGCTGCTTTTTCACACCCCCTCTCGATTCCTCCCCGGCCGAACGGTCGGCCGAAGCCGGGCGGCTCATCTGCTCCAGGTGCCGATCCCGTTCGGCGCGCAGCTCGTCATCGGCGTTGCGCCGTTCCAGGCGTTCCTCCTCCAGGGCACGCTGGAGCTCCTGGCGTGTTGGATGGATGGAGCTTTGTTGGTTTGGTTACCATGGAAGTGGAAAAAAACCCTGTTCGTAAAGGAAAGTAGTCTTCCAAGGGACTATTTTCCACTTCCATGTTAGTGAGTCAGAGTGTAGATTTGCGTCTGATTTGCTCTGATTTGGTTGCTGGGGGTGGAGCTTGCGATATAATGCGTGGGCCCGTCGAAGAGCGAAGGCTGCTCCAACAAAGTCACACCAGGAAGCTTGTGTTTCATGAACATTGGATCATCCAACAAAATGCCTCAATGATACTATAAATGATAAATCATAATACAAATTAATTACTGAAGAATATGGGTTAATTGTAGCAAGCATATTCTCCACATCGTGTCTGAACGAAGGAATTACTACATAAGTATATTAAATATATATATATATTATATATATATATTATAAAATCTGTTAAAGGATATTAAAGGCTCAAAGGCGAAAACCTCCACTTACCGCCGTTTCTTCACTCAGCAGGCTCCAGGCGTGTCTTGTCCCGCTCGAGCTCCACCGTGTCCTGGCCACTTTTTTGACGTGACAGGGGACATCTGATAGCGCTCGGAACCCAACAAGTCTGCGAGGTAGAACATGAATTCAATGAAAAAAACGCCAGTCATGAACCAAGAATATCTGGAGGATCCTTCTGCCAGTTCTCCAGACTGTTCTTCTAGACTCACAGTTGAGAGGAAATCGAGGCTCAGCCCGCGTGCCTGGATCTTCTCCAAGGTGCGGGTCTCCAGACTGTTCACAGCAGCCATGGCCCTTCCTTCGAGCTCATCCTGCACGAGTTCCGAGCTGCATCCACTGGCAAATCTTCACCAAGCATGGCTGATCGGGGGCAGTTCGGGGTCTTGACCAATGCCCCACAAAGTTGGATGTGATCGTCAAAGCTTCTTTGGGGTCCCAGTAAACCGATTTTCTGCCAGGCCCACGCATTGAGATCTTGAGACTGAGCCTAGGTTGGAGAAAAGCTCAGCTCTCAGCTCTGGGGAGCTCCATTCTCTGGGGAGCTCCCAGTCCTGGCTCTTCTGCAAGGCACTACAGCGGCCTGCGGTCACCTGCTCCAGCTTCGCCATTTCCGCCTCCGCCGCTCCACGAGGTCGGTCGGTGCGGAAGATGGACAGCGGGCTCGACCCGGTGTCCCTCGGTGAACCGAGTGGTTGAGTCGGTTGGAGAAAAAAATTAACCGACTGAGACCTACTGTAGCTATCTATAGCATCTTGTCCTGATCACCTTTTCTCAGCTGGTCCAAGCTGAAGTTCTTCTGCATGGGAATTGGATTTCCTCAGGGTGCCATGTGTCCGGTCGCACAATGAAGCCAATGATGGTTTCGGTCCAAAGTGCCTTGAGATAAAGATCGAACAGATCTCACCCCAATCGAACAGTGTCCAAAGGGTGCTCATCACCTTTCTGGAAGCAAGCAAATGAGTGTCGGATGAAGCTGCTGTTGTCGTGGCCGGTATCAATGTGACGCAAAAAGGTTCGGCAAAGAAGCGATCACATTCCGGCCAAAGCATTTCAATAGAACATCGGCAAAGCATTTGAAGGGTTCACTATGGGTTCACCTTCTATTCTAACTTCAGGAGACCTCGACCTCCTTCCTTCAGTCCAAGAACACACCGATGCCTTCATGTCAAAGACAGCCTGTTGCGTGCGACCACTCCTCGGTCACCAAGAGCAGCTCGATTGAACTTGGGATAATCATACATACACATGTCAGCCATGTCAATATCACTTCACTAAATTCATCAGAATCCTGCAGCTGATACTAGCGACAAGCTACAGCGAGGTCTTGTCAATATCCTAGGTCCAAAGTGGCTGCTGAACCCTTATCTTTAACGCAAAATTCAGTGCATGCGGCCATCCTATTTGACAACGGGAGCACAAGCAAGCACTTTCTGGGGTTTCAGCCAGCGCCGCAGCACATTATTCGCTGCTGCTGCTGCTGCTGCTGCTGCTGGAATCTAATCTTTAGTGGCGGACCAGCCTTACTAAAGAAAGAGTACAGTATGTGTGTGTACTCCTTCCTAGTGCAAACTCGGCACACATGCACTGGCTAGCGTGAGGATAGAGCTGAGCTAGAGCAGGACTACGGCCCTAAAAGAGTACTGATCAAACACTGTGAACTCGTGGAGAAACCACAAAACTTACTGCCTCCTGTCTTTCGGGCGGGCTCCAACCAAATTCAGGATTGAATGATATCGAGTGCTCTAAAAGGTTATTTTATGATTATTAGTACAGTATGTGCCGTAACACCCAGAGAAACAAACTGGGGAGAAAAACACCACCATATGAATGACTCTTCCTTGAATCAAGGGGCTGAATGGTCTGCACATCGTTCAACTGTCTCATCATCTGGGCAGGTGCTTTGAGGACTCGGAGGACTCCAGTGAGTAGTCATTGTGGATGCCAGGACATTGTGATTTTCAGTTTAAAGCAACAAACTGAGGGACTAAGTCGGACAAAGGCCGAATGTGCCTATCTGTCTTGCAAAGGCCTGTGTGGAACACCTTCCAGAACTATGTAAATATGGATGTGTAGTACGGCCACATGGGTTTGTCTGGTCGGGGATTCGCAAAAAATTCTTGGGTTAAGGCTCGGCCAAGGAAAGTGTGGTGACCCTGCTCCTGTATTGCTTTGTTGTTTTGGTGAAAATGTTGTCATGTGGATAAGAAGCCACAAAGCACGCACATGATATCCCATACAACTCATATCGAACCTCTCAAATCACTGAATCCTTTTGATATCATGTATACCTCCCCACAAAATCCACTCGTCTTCTGACCATCAGGACAAAGAAGGTCGTGAGCCAAACGTCCCAGCGCTTTTGGGAGGCGCCCGTCCATCGCCAGGCCGCACCGGAGCCCTCCGAGTTTCTTGGGAGGTCATGTTGGGCCAAAAGGTCAGTCCAGAGGGAGGTGTTTTTCAGGGTTAGGACAAAAGTTTGGTTCCCACTTCCATTTCCAAAATCTGTTGCAGAACACTTTTGGACTCCATTTGGAATCCACAACTGGCACTGCACGAGGTTCAAAACACCAAGTGGCGCGTCCCTCTGCATCCCGGAGTTCTTGTTGCTGTGCGCGCTGGCTGCTGTCCAAGCGCTCTGCCACACTGGTGAGCTCCGTCTGCCGAGTGACTTCTGGTCAAAACGACCGTTTCCACCAGGGCGACGCAGCAACGGTGTGGCTGGGGGAGCATTTATATTCTATATATATATATATATAGTGACTTAGAACAGAAGGTTGGTTTGGCGACCGGATGTTGAGGGGGGAATTTGATGTTCACCTCTTGCCATATTTGGGGCTCCCTGCCTTCTCCCTTTTCTCCACCATTCCAGCCTTGAACAAATATCCATGGCCCAATGTCTTATGGCTCCAATCATGCAACCAGCAATTTGAGAATCCGCAAAGCTTGGAAACTATAAGTGATATATCCAAGCTGGTCACTCTTTGTACTCCATCATGACTCCCCACGATGTTTAGAAGCAACATGCTCTTGCCCCGGTTTCCTCTGCTGAACCTCCAGAAATCCTCAACCCATCAATTTACCACCTACAAGGCTGAATTATCCTTCAGCACCACAATTTATTTGAGGTCGCGCCCAGTCTCATCTCCACCATCGCCATACCATTTCCCTCCGCCACGCGCACACGAGCGCCCACGAGCGCCTTCTGGCCATTGATCTTCCGTCCTAACTCGTCGATGGACCGCTGCTGCGCCTCCAGCCCATCGGCCAGCCGCCGCGCAACGCCCCGCGTCTCTCCGTCCATCTCGATGCTGAAGTCCCGCTTGGCCTTGGCAGGACTTCAAAGTCCGAGGGGTCAACAGGAACACGAGGGGTCCCAGGCACCTCGTGGATCTCCTCCGAGAGCTTTGCGGAGTCCTTGAGCCAGGCGGCCTGTGCCTGCAGAGCGAGGACCGGTGCGGTGCCTCCGGATGCGGAACGGATGTTGGAGTGAATTGGTTTGTCAAATTGTTGGTTTCATCCTTAAAGAACGGAAAGCTGTTCTTGTGTATTGCGAATCGTATCATCATGCATCATCTGAATCATCTAAGGATGCAAACGGCAGTCAGCACCCTTGAGGGGTCAATATACACTCCTGAACCCTGAGTCTGACTGGGGAGAGGATCATAGCAATGTTATTCAAATCAGCTATTGTCCTACTTACCATCGAAAACATATGTTTTTCAAAACCAACAATATGGAACCCTCCATCTGGAGGGTCATCTGAGCATCTTCGAAGGGGAGGCCTGTAGCCTGTTGCTAAAGAGGGAGGTTCTTACTCTGTATGAATGATAACTACATAACTACATGTATAGTAGTAAGCATTGATCAGCTGGTTTTTTGCTTTTTTAAAGGCCTCCAGGTGAGTTGCGTTTGGATCATTTTGCCCACGTGGTGGAACCCTGCCCAGCTACCTGGCTCCCCAAAGCCGCCCCACCGCGCCTTCTCCAAAGCTAGGCCCAAGCGTGAGACGACTCCCCTCAGCACCAGCTCCGCTTCGGGCAAAGACCAGCATCTTCGGTGGTACAGAATTACAAACAACTCGGGACCAGGCTTTTTTCAGCCTGCACCTCTGCAACAATTGTAGAAGTGTGTGTGTGTATATGACAGTGTATGACCCCCTTCTCAGCATGAGTCTTCCAGCAAAACTTCGAAACCTACCTAGAGGATCAACCGGACACACTCCAGAAGGGTCAAGTCCTTACATTCCTCATGTGGAATGCCACCTAGGTGCTCTGCCCGCTGCTGCTCTTCGATTCGCACGTTCTGCTCCGTCTGGAGCGCTCGCTCCGTGTCCGCAAGCTTTGCCTAATAGTCAAAGCGAGCAGGTCAAGCCTTTCCCGATTAAAATCGATGAAGTCACCAGTTCTATAGGTCAGCGCAAATATCCCAGCTTACAAATGAACACTATACAATAACACTTGTGGTCACCTGCCTCTTGTCTTTTTTCTATAGCCTGATTATGATTGGGGCGTCCTGTTGGACCATCGCTTTTACAGCACCTCTTTCATTCACGGTGATGTTGAATGGACCAACAAAGGTAAATGGCAACAAGCTAGTAACCACCTGTCTTCAGGGTGGCAGGTGCTGTCTTCATCATTTTGCATAGGCATAATGTTGTCCCTTCAACTCCCACATGTTCCAGAAAGCCTGCAGCTGCTCGTGCCGGACCTGCATCTGGGTCCAAAACTCCTGGCATTGTCCCCAAGGCTTGGGGAGTAGATCTCATTAGATCATATTACATCTCCAAGGTCAATTCTATTGGAAATGGCATTGATGTCTTACCTACAGTATGTGATGGATACCGTTTCTCAATGTCCTCTGATGGAGAAAAACACCTTCCAACATCAGGTCCTCAGCACCGGGTAGAGAGGTCTCTCTATGAAGAGTAGCTCCCACCATCTACGGGTCCTGCTTGTCTTCTTCCCTCTGCTGCTGCTGCAGGGATCTCAACTGCAAGGCGATCTTGTCCTGAAAATCAACATGTTTTGTTCCCAGCTGGTAGGAGACTTGTTCGGCCATACCGAACCCGAACATCCTGCAGCATGACACCTTCCAACGCAGTGAAGACCGCTGGGGAGTCGCGTCTCATGTGATGGGGGGCTCCGAATGATAAGCTCATCTGCAAAGCGCTTTCGAGGAACGGTTTGTCAAAGCAATCTCCAAGCTAGGCTTGTAAGGTTACAGGAGCAAGCATAGGTCCCGGCTTTGTTGGTGATCAACAGAATACTGCACCAGCGAAGAAAACCTACAGATCACACATCCACTCCGTCCACAGTATGCCATGTTGGTGCTTTAAGGGACAAAGTGTACGTGTCCCTTGAGTCTAACTGGTCCGTTGACTTACCAAGTACGAGGTCTTTCTCGGTGTAAGTGGCAATTTTGAACGTGCCCATTACCCTCGCCCCCCTAAAACGATCCAAAAAATTGGAACTGAAAGGAACTGAAAGGAACCATCAAAAAAAATATACCGTCTGGAGTCTAGATGCCGGTTGACCACCGAAATGCATGTGGCAAATGTTGAAAACTCACGAGTCTGAAAGCCCACGTACAAATAAATGCATGTCTGATGCCAAAGTTCATCCTGGTAGATGTCCGTGTCATAAACTCAATTCATGATTGATAATAGTTGCATTTGTAATAGCCAAAGCAACAACATTCACCTTCCATGCGTTGGCCCCCAATTTCCTATCAAGTACCAAATGATTGCTATTGGTAGTAAATCAACAATCTTGTTTCAGCAATCTCAGCACGGGTCCAGTCACATAAATGTAAAGCTTAAATTTATATTATACAATTATATAATAGTACTGTAATTTGTATCCATTGTGACGTTTGAAGCTTAGGGCTATGCAGAGGTACATAACACAATTGAGGATCCAATACTATCCAATATTGTTTGCAGGGGCATGGCTATAAACCGTCTTGCAATGTCTTGCAGGTACCTTTTCAACCATCTCAACGAAAGGAGCCCTGACACCGCCCCTCAGGGGCAAGCATTGTACAAGCTCACAAGAGTGGGAACCCACAAACAACAGCCAACCAGAGTCATGAAGACATTGCAACATCTCAGGCTGTTCTTCTTTTCCTTGGTCACCTGCTCCAGAAAAGCGCTCTGAATAGCAGGATCCAGCTTCATCATGCCCACGTAGGATAAATTATCATCAAGGCGTGCCACGAAGGTCAGCAGGAGGATATTCAGGACCAGCTCAGATTTGAGCTGCGCACGCCAAATGAAGGGCAAACCCATGACCATCTCCACAGATGCCAGGCCCAGCTTGGGAAGTAGCAAGAACAAAAGGCCAGTGCATCTGCATCGACTCATGGTGATAGCGAGGTATAGGTGCCCGCACTGCCAGAATTCCATCTGTAGAACTCCAATGAGGACCAAGGAGCCCATGAAATGCACGCCGGGTGCACAAAGAAGGTGCTCTGAGATGGGCCGCCCTAAGGCTTCTTCCCACAGACTCCCCACCAAGCATGCCTGTATGGTCATCACGCATGCCAGCACCACGAGCCGTCCACACCCGTTCATGCCTTGCTCCCGGTCCAGTACTGTCAGTGCCAAGGTATGAGGATCGTCATGCAGGTCCGCGAAGCTTTCGAGGTCAACCGTGCGCGGGCGACTTCCAGAAGGGATCACGCCATGAGGCATCAGCAAGGGCTACGAAGACAGAAGTCAAAACAGTCACCATGACACTTTCTCAAGCCACTGAACCTGGAGCTGCGGGAAGCTTCATTGTGCACGCAGCATGGCACTCCACGAAGTCACTATCTCCGCGACAAAAAACATGACTCAACTAGGAGAAAGCAACAGGGTCCTTGGAGTCTAAGATCTGCTGCAGTGCCGCCAGGGAAGACTTGCACTCGACCACCACGCCCTGATGCCTCATAGGAGACTGGCTTCTGGGACTTGCAAACAGTTTCACAAACATGGAAAACTATATAATGAAAATGACTCTCTTTCTCGCCATGTGTTTTGTTTGCCTCAAACATGGGCATCTCCATACGAGGCATTCCACAAATTCCACATACCTCTTTGGACGCCGAACGGTCCGGTGAACCCGGCGAATTCCAACAATATGGATCGAACCATTAGATTTCGATTAGTTTTAATGTTACTTATTTCTTGTTTCTAATAGCTTCTTGCTACTAGTAGTGAGGCCAGGAGCCCCTAGTAGCTTCTTGCTACTAGTAGTGAGGCCAGGAGCCCCTAGTAGCGTCTTGTTGCTAGTAGTAAGGCAAGGAGCCCCTAGTAGCGTCTTGTTGCTAGTAGTAAGGCCAGGAGCCCCTAGTAGCGTCCTTGCCCCTAGCTGCACTGTTTGTAATATGTTGTAGTCAAACAATCAGATCTTTGATCAGATCCTTGGTGGTTGGTGGCCAATCGCCATGTCTCCAGCTCCCAACATCCATTCGGTGCATCCAGCTGCTCTTCCCAGAGCTCCCGTGCGGCGTTGAGCGCTGCCTCCTGGACTCCGCCCAAGCGCTTCTGGCAAAGCTCCTCACTTTCCTCGCAACGCTTGGCACAGTCAGTGCCACAGCGATAAAGCCTAAGGCGGGAGATAGGGCTGCCGGAGATAGGGCTCATTCTGGGATCTTTGGGAGTCTAGGCATGTAGGGCGTCGATGGATGTAGGCTGTCAGGCCATCTGCTTGACACCGTTGGTTCATGGGAGGACGCCGTCTCTACTCTACTAATACCTACTAATTACATCTAATTACATACGTTCTCTTCACCCTAAAGCCCAACACCAAAAAAAGAGATACATGGAACCTCATGGACCTCCAACTTGCCCTTGTCGTTTGTCCAAGTCGTCGTCCGATTCGCCGGGGCGCAGCTTGCGTAGCTCCTCGAGTTCCTCTCGCATGGAGCTCACTGAGGGCTCTAGCGCCTGGACGCGCTGCACCACTCGCGCTTGGTCCTGTCTGCACCACATCGAGCAAGCTCGCGCATGTCCGGGGCGGGAGGGCGGGAGCGCATGGAGGATCGGTGTCCAAGAAGTATTGATTCTCACGCTTAAGCATTGAAGAACTCCTTGAATTCTCTTTGTAGAGAAATCCTTGTTGTGGTAAGCTCATGGACCCGTGGACCGCTACAAGCACAGAGTCGGAAATGATTCGATTCTTCAAAGAGTCGTCTTTAATCTTTAATGTGCCGGGATTGCACATGCTGCTCACCTTGGCTATCTATTCCACCTTTTTGAGCAAATTTGACAATCTTACGAACAAAGAACCTAAGCATGCCAAGAGCGGTGCTATTGCACCAGTTGATGCGTGTGTCTCATGTCTATGGAAAATTGCTACTGTAGTTTATAATCTCAAAAATGATCGCCTACCTACAGATGTGTCCAAAACTGTTTACTGAAGCAAAATGGTCAAACTGGTTAAAAGCTTCGGAATCGCGAAAAAACGCAACAAAAAAGAAGTGGTGCCTTCTCATCTTGCGCAGCATTCTGCTGGAGATGTTGCTGCGCCGAGACCTGTTGCTGCTGCTGTCGATTGCTGAGCTCATAGACCATGTCGCTGAGCCTTGAGAAGCCCATCGAGGCCCCCTTGCTCAAAGGTGGTGCTATGGGGTGTAGGCACCTCTATGCAATTCTATATTTTCAACATTGTTCAACCTTGGGCTAACTGTACCCAATGGTATAAGTACCTTCTGCTTGTGTTGGGTTGTGAACCGAACATAGCGCGCAATGCTACCTGCCCAAGTCAAGCATGGCCAAACAAGGGCATTCAGTCCCATTCCACAAATCAACACAGGCTCCACCAAAACGCATGCCAAAGCAAAAATGAAGTACAAAGAGGTCAAAAGCCCTTATAAGGCCCTTATTAATGGCATTTCCTGAAAACAATGTAGCAAACATAGCGTAATTATATACTTAAGTAATTATATATATATATATTCATATATATATATATTATATACGTTATATAATTAGTCACATCTCCTGAACCTTCCACCACTTCCCGTCCTTCCCTCGGGTCCTTCATGGCCCCTCCCTTCGCTTTCCGCTGAGCGGCTGCTTCAACTGCTCGGCCGTCTCCGCGCCTAGCGCCACTCGTGCGCTGGCCTCGCGCTCCAGGCCCTGTCGCAAGACCTCCAAGTTCGCCGAGGCGGAGGCGGCCACCGCAGCCGCGCCCATGGCGGCCTCGCCAGTGCCTGAAGACGGCGTGATTGAAGAGTCAACAGTAAACTGCTTCATGAAGAGTCATCTACATTTCTAGTAACTGTACAAGTCTCTACACTTAGTCAGTCCATCCCCATCAACTCTTCAGAGCCCAAGTGACCTCCACCATTGCCGGCGTTCATGGCACCGGCTGAGACGGCGTTCATCAGGCCTTGGACCTGCGCCACCGATTGAGCCATCTGCCCCTCCAGTTCCTGCAAGCCTTGGTCCGAGATGAAAGCAGTTCTACATCTGGGAACCGTTCAACTGCAAAAACGACAGACCGCCCCAGATTCATTGACACCTTCCGGTGGAACAGCTCCACTGTTGGCGTCCACTGCTGACTGGAGAAAACCTTGCCTTTTTCTTGAAACTCCTAGGTCCTGCATGAGCAGCATGGCCAACTCCGTGTTTCAACGTACAGTATATAAATCAACACAGGTTCCACAGGCCTTGCATCGCATGGGATTTGGACGCAGAACTTGTTCTTAACACGATGTCGTGCTGCCAGAAAACGCATGTCTTGCTTCTGGCTCTGGGCTGTGAGGTTCCCCACAAGCCTTTGCTGCTGCTGCCCTGTCTCTTGAACAGACACACGCAACCTCACGCAGCAACGACGCGAAACGACGGCCGCGGTCGATGTTTGTTGAAACCACGCCCAAAGTTGCTTCCTTTTCCACGCCCATGTCAACGATTCCACGGGCATGTTTTGAGATGTTTTGAGTCTACATATTACGTATATTATACGATATTATACGACTATATATATTTTTTGATGCTGGGGAATGATCCATCTCCACTGAGCAAGCAATATCCACATGAATCATCGTCTTTTGAGACCCAGGGCCAGGAGGCTGTTGGAGCTGCGAATGCAGCTGCTCGTGTTCCCGCTGCACCCAGTCTTTGAAGTGCTTATCCGCCTAGCAGCCGGCTCAGGTGGCATGCTGGAGCATCACAACCAAGAGGGGATCACCTAAACCGCTCTGCTTGGAGTAGGAAAAGCTGGTTTTTAGAAAGAAAGAAAGAAAGAAAGAAAGAAAGAAAAACACTGGCTGAGGGGCCTGCCTGCCTACACACAACTCACTTCAAGTATTTATTGTTCCATGTTCTGGAAGAAATACACCAGAGGATTCAGCTTCAATGAGTTCTGACTTCGGCAAAAAACAGGTGACACCCTCTTCATCCCGCTTCCTAGACTCCTATGTTGGAACACCATCTTCCCTTTCCTTCCCTCCTTCCATTTCGTTTCCCAAAGCCGGACCGGACTTCCCGCACCTGCTCGAAGGCGCCGAAGCGGCGGGATATCTGGTCCCGCTGCTCGGTGACCGAGGCCTCGAGGCGTCGCTCCAGCCATTCCTTGGCCTCGGACGGTCACCGAGCACGGCGGAGGTCCGGATGGGCTGGGCATTTACCGTTTGGTTGATCGTTTGGTTGATGGGGGGCAGGGGTGGGGAGGCGGGAAAGTCAGAGGTAGCCTTTTTGGGGTGCAAGTGCCCAAAAAGGACCGGAAACGTCTGGGTCAGGAAGACTTAAGGATTGAAAAGCGTCCAAGTCTGCATGGCTTTGACTGCTTTTTGGGCTACTGGTCACTGTAAGCAATGACCATTTGTCTTGATCTGTTGCCAAACGGAGTAACATAATGGTACCACCTTATAGTTAGAGGACTGTGCTTGCGCTGTTCCACCGAACCCCCGGGTGCCTCGGCACCAGTGTCCATGCTCACCAAACGGGGTCGCAGGGCGTTGGCCTTCAAGTCTCGCCAGTCCTCCATGGGCGGAGCCGCCCAACCCAAAGGCGGGAGCTGCGCCGGATACCTGAGCGGGCGGAGCTCGGGAGGGGGGTGATGTGACCGGTTTCGCAAAGGGGACTCAAGGACACAAGGCAAAGGGGCATGGAAGTTGAAAAGGAGTGAACATGTATGAAAATGTACTTTAAACAAGAAGCAAAAAAGGATTTGAATCAAGAATGAAGGGTATAGCTTCTTGGGATGGACAAGAAACCAGGTTCCACCCAAGTGAACTGGCCCCCTTTTGTCCATTCCTTTCGAGCAAGTCATGAAGATTCTGACACAAATCTACGCGATTCTGCTGCCAGTCGCAGGTCTGTTTTTCAACAGGACCCTCTGAACTGCACCCGCCCCAGTCTGTTCAGGGCACAACGGCTGGATGGGCTCCTCCAGCTCCGGCCGGCTGGGCAGCGACCGGCTCTCGCGCCGCTGCAGCGGCGAGGCATCGCCGCGGCCGCGCGGCGCCGGCGAGTCCTCGCGCCGGTGCAGCACCTCGGTGCGAAGGGGCTGGGCATGGCTGGATCCAAAACAAAAGCAAATGACGGCATTGGGAAGAATCCTGACGGGTGCTGCAGCAGTTTTGGCTGAATGGTTGGGACTGGTTGCATTTCAGAGCAGATGCACCGATCCTTGCCAAACTGGCAGGGCTGACGTTCTTTCACGAGTGCCGAGTTCGGCACCGACCACAAATGGTCCGGCCGGCGGCCATCCGGCAGGCGCCGCTGCCCCGCCGGCGGCAGCTCCCGCGGCATCGGGGGACCCCCCGGCGCGGGTGGTGGGCGCGGGGGCAAGGCGCCCAGCATGGCCATGGCTGGAGCAGGTGAGACAGTGAAGTGGAAACTTGGAGGCTGATGATGTCTGATGCCTTTGGCGAAGAAATGGAAAAGAGAGAAGCTCCCTGGATGTTGTGATGATGTTACTTGAGGCGTGGGGGGATCCTGGTTCTGCATGGAATCGTCCTGCTCAGCTGGGGCTTGGATAGGGTCAAAGGGGTGTGAGCTGCAGCCTTCCCTAATCATGCCCATGTTGTATCTTGTTGTAGATTGGTTCACTTGACTGTCCACTCCCAGGAAGAGTCGCAACTGCGAGAGCATTACTCTCTGGAGCCGGGAGCAGCGCTCAAAGCAACACAGGATCAAGAAGACCGATCATGTACATGTAAGCACTCATCACCTCCCGTGGTCGAACAGAACAGGTAGAAGCTGCACTGAACTATAGCCGCACGGAGGGGGCACAACCCAATGAAACCGTTCTATCCAGGATCCATTTCATGCATTTCTAAAATGCGATTGTCTCAAGTCTGCTGCATAATTAATTAGCCCAGACCCCAATGACCCAGCCAAACGTCCTTTTCAAGGTCCAGGCAATCAAACAACCTCCAACATCTCCAAAAGTATCCAAACCTTTCTGGGTATTATACCGAATTGTAATTTCACTTCCGTGATTTGCCCCGTCTCTTCGGTCTTCCTGAATTTGGTCAGCACGTGCCGATCCTTGCTGGACCCACCGGTCAGCAACCCACACAACCCATGGGTCGTGCCTCATGGGTCCATGGGGTTCATCTGATCTGATTCATCTGATTCATCAGATTCATGATGCATCTCCTCGTTCTCTGGAAAAAATGATTTAGGACTTCTGAATGGAGCTCGGAGTTTTCGGGTGGTAAACACCTGCTGCACGGGGTCCAAACGCACCATCACGCCCGGAGGGCCCGGCATGCGGCTACCTTGCTTCCGCTTGGGCTGGTTCGCCTGGTTCGCTTGACTTGGATCGTTGGGTGCTTGTTGCAAAAACTAGATCATTGAAATGGTTAGCGATGCACCTTGTTACTAGTAGCTTCTTGTTACCAATAGAAATGCCAGGAGCTACTAGTAGCGTCCTTGCTCCTAGTAGCGATGCACCTTGTTACTAGATAATTGGATCACGTTCAATTTTGGTTGGCCGTTCACCTCCTGGTCATCTGCTCTATGAAAACGATGTTTTTGGACTCTATATAATAGACTCTAGATCACTTCCCTGCAATTCCATCCTTCTTTGGCTCATGATAGCTCATCCATCCTTCCCGGCACACACCTGGGCTTCTTTGGCCAGGTTGATGGAGGACTGGGAGCCTCTTCGCAGCATCTGCGCAGCCTAGGTAGCGTTGGGCCGTCCAAGCACGGATGAATAGGTTCCGGTGTTGGGCCGTTGGGATACGTTTAGGGTGGCAAAACCAGTTCGGGCGAGGGTCGTCCGTCCAGATTGAAGAACCACCTGGTCGTTGGCATGTCTCTTCCTCTACATTAAGCACTTCGAACCCACCTGGGTCGCTGCAACGAACCGAGTTCACGAAACCGATCCTCGTCGCGATTCTTTTTCGCCTCGAGCCTGTCTTAGATTCAAGACGTCAGGGTCTCAGGGATCTCCTGTGCGACGAATCGCTGGTCTCAGGGATCCTTCTTTGGGATCCTCTCCGTCTCGCAGCTTTCCCATACCATTTGACCTGCCCACATGAAGGTCGACATCGGAGGTGGTGCCAGGGTGTTCAACTCATGTATGACTTTCCAATGAGGTCTTCGGTCTTCGGGCGCAGCATCTTTGTATTGCACACGAGGGAGTGGTGCAAAGCACATCCTCTCAAAGCTTTGTATGCCAAAGAAACATAGGAGCTGGTTTGGCAGTGCTACTATGACCCTATTGCCTGGGTCCTCAGCTTGCATGACCCTCATCCATCGATTCATTTGCCTAGGCAGGGCAAGCGAGCACAAGTATATGTGTGTTTCTGCCAATGAATGCAAATAAGTCATGGACAATGTCTTTCTTTTTTAGAAACCTATTGAGAATTGTCATTGATTATGACCATGGGAGGTGGTGTGGTCTCCAGAGCAAATGATTGATCCTGGTTGCTCCTCTCACTCTCCTAGCTTGTGGGTGTGGGCCTCCATTAAGCAGGGAAGCTCCAATGTCGCAGTGAACTCATCTGGTTGTTCCCCACCACTGCACCAGTTTTTGCTGAAAGAAAAGCAGCTATTAAAACTAGTGGAGACTGAGGAGTCGAGGGGTAAGCGTCTAGAGTGTTCAAGAGATCGGTTTGGAAAGCTCCAAGTCCCAGGGTCATCTGAGCTTGCAAGTCCAGTCAAAATGCATGTCTGACAGGGGAAGAACATGAAGGTGATGGGGTTGGCAACCATTCATTCTGCCACAGCACTTCCAAATGCCAATGGGAACTACAGAGAGACACCGGATCAGATCTTGGCAGTCCATAAAAGACGGAGTTGCCAAGCAATTTGACAAAATAAAGGAGAAGTGCAAGCCGACATGTTTGGAGGCAGGACGACCATAGATGTGCTCAAAGGTTGTCGCACACCCGGCACTTGGGTTATATAATATTATTGCAATGACCCTCCAATCACTGGAGATCCTTCAAACTCTACTCAAACAAACCTGTTGAAGGGGCCAATCTCGGCCAATCTGCATTGTCTGAAAGCCGGCCTCTCTGTTGGGAGGCTCCAGGTTTGTGGTTCAAACCCTGGTGGCTCACCAGCCAAAGCGCTTTCACATGTCCACGGGCCCATGGTATCCACCCATAGGTGATTTAACCTCAAATGCCTGGTTTCCTAGCACAAAAGCACTGTGTTCCCCCTTGTCATTGGATTCCATGTGAAGATGTCTCACCCACCCCTCTCCTGCTCACTCCTGCCTCACTGTCCTGGCCCCTCCCCTGGCCGTGCCCCACGCAACAAGGCACCCAGCTCAGGCTGAAGTTCCACATGAACGCATCCATCGTTCGGATCGCCCCGGCCACCTCGCCGCCTGAAGCCGCAAGCATGGGTGAAAGTGAAGGTCCCATGTCATTGGAGGGGGGTTGGGAATGCGAGTGGAATGCGAGTGGAAACCAACATGTCTGAACAACATTGAACAACCACAAATCCTCCCCACCATCCTCCAAATATTAATTAATCGCACATGTGACAGTGCGTAGACTGACACCCAATATCACCCAATGCTGGTGGACACTCAATCTAGTTAGGCCGAGTGAAAAAAACTCTAAGATCACCTCATTCACCATCGCATCACTCCTGAGGTGGGTTTTTGCCAGGTTTTCCTTTTCCCCACTCTGAGCGCACTGCCAAGGACCTGTGCTGCTTGTTGTGGTGCCGCTGCTCAAGCGCTCAACCAGCAAGTTTCCAAGGTGACATGACTGTGGATTACAAACCTCGTATGCTGGCGAGCACTCAAACATAGGGGAAAGCACTCAAACACGTGTCCCTAGGGGGTCTTGAATTGTTTCCTGTGACCCAACTGCCCCGTTGTTCGGCCCGAGTGGCGCATGTCCTGCAAGACCTTCAGCAAGGACCCGAGGAAGGCGAAGAGCAGGGACACCACCCAGGCATTGCGAGAGGTCTCCGTGATGGTGATCCTGTGATGGCGCTCACCCCAGGGAGCCCAGCAAGGTCGTACAATCATGTACAATCTATTTGCTATCATTCTTTGATGCCCAAACATCCCAAATCTGAAAAGTGTGTGGGGCGACAGCGTTCCTCCAACACTCCACTTCGCAGCCCATTCGTCCACCGGTTTGGCCGAGGTGCCCCAGAATCTGTTGTTTGTCATCCAGCATGGCCACCTTGGCCGCGAAAGAAGCGCACATCACGGACCCACGGAAGCAGCCCGCTTCCAGGCTTCCAAAGAGGTCCATCTTGACACCCAGCAGTGAAACAATGTGAAACATGGGAATCCAAGAAAGCCTGCGAAAGAACTCCTACGAACCCACAAAGAGCGCCTCCAGTGGCCCACACTCCGCAAACCACCCACTCTTGCAACGCTCAGTGGCTCGTCGCTCAATGCTGTGAAGAAGGCTTGCAACTTCTGCAGCGTTCCACTGACCTGATACGCAATGCACAAACAGTTCTCCGCGTTCCTTTTTAAAAAATGATCTTGTGCTGTCGCCTCTCTGGATGGGCGGTTTGCTTACTCTGTCATTCGCGCGAAAAACTCAATTCTCTTGAAAGGAAACCGCTTGTCCAGCGCGGCGGAATCGCTCGATCCTTTTCGATGTGCATCTGGGCGACGGGAAAGCACCACGTCGGCAGCGGCATCGACTAAGACCTGGGAGTCCCGCTCCAAGAGGCTGTTGATCGTGATACATGCCTCGCGGAAACAGAGTCAACAGTCAGTGACATTCAGAGCATCAAAAACACAAGGAAGCTCAGTCAGTCGGAAGAGTATGGGGGAACTGGGTGGCAGGTGATTCAACGTCTTGGACTCTTTGAACTGAAAGCCCGGGAAAAGATATAGATCGTTATATATTTATCTTTATTTATCTTAGTGTGCGTCTAATTGATATTTGTTGCATATGCGTTTTTTCCAAGTTCCGTGGGTGTCGGAAAGCACCTTTGAAGAAGGTATTGTCGGAAGCACTAGGGAGCTAACGATGTTCGCTTTTGGTTGTCAACTAAACCCGGTCATGTTCTCCACTGGATCATGGACCGTACTTCAAGAGATTACCTTGCAGGAGGTCGTTGCTCCTTGGCAAATGGCCCGCAACAGGTCGCAAGGACTTTCCCTAACAAATGGATGGAAACATCCTGCAACAGGTTCACTATGAAAGATCCTCAAATTTAGCCCCTGGTCACGTCACACTTTGATTGAGTACCCACTCTTTTTGAGGACCCACTTTGCCACCTTATGGCACTTGATTCTTTGGCCAGTGATCTAAGACCTTCCTCCATCGTCCCAAGCCCTGACGCCCTGGTCCTGCATCACAGTGAACATGATGACTCCCAAGCATGCCACCAGCAGCACCACCAAGATAATCCCAGGTGAGAAAACATCTCCATTTGCAAGCCAGTCGAACGCACCCGTGACCATGAAGCAAATGGTCAGCCTCATTCAGTGTCTCACAAAGAGCTGGTGAGACCATGGACATAATCATAATCCAGTCGGTGGTCACCCAAAACAAAAATCCAGCTTGGTACTTCAGCGCAGTTCCAATTAAAACAAACATCAACAGAACCGCCTGCAACATCTGAACAACCATGTTTTTTCACGAACAAGGTTACTTTGGGAGTAAGGGCAAGTCTGCGAAGGTGGAGGGTCTCTATCAAAGACTATATACAGTATATCACAAAAAATTGCCGCCTGAGTGCATTTGCCATTCCCCTCGTTTTCCACGAATGCCATTGTTCATTGAGGATTCAGTGTTAGCTGTAGCTTTTACGGCTTCTGAAACTGGTATTTGATCTGTCGAATACAAATGAACGGAATACTCTACTGACTCTTTTTGCAGGCTGATGTTATCCAACATTAACCCAGGAATGGTCATTCTGCACTAACATGCTTTGCTCCCAAGATCCCTAACCTTTCGGTATTCTTACAGTCCTTGAAAAAAGTAGACCTGAAAAACCATTCATGAGAATCCAACGGGACACCTTGGAGCGGTAGATTTGGTAAGAGATTTTGCTTGCTTGGCATGGGGCAACTGGATGCATGGAGCCTGTTTCTCTGCTATTGTCAGCACTAAGCGGATATCCTCTCTGTATAATCAGGTTCGCAGAGAATAATGTCTACCAAGTACAGGGAACATGATTATGGCAGAATGCTCAGTGGCGCTGCGCGATGGATATGAGTCCAAATTCTTAACTTGAACAAGTCGGAACTCGGAACCTGCAAAACCAAAAGTATTCATTCACTGTCTTCCCATGGCTTGCTCATGTTGCTTCTGCGCGGACTACTTGCTAGAACTAATTATTGAGTAGTACTTAGATGTATTTAGTACAGTAACCCTCTTCCACAGCCCAATGGCAAAATGCCCGAATCCAAACAACCACAAACGCCCAAAACACCCAGACTCATTGACATGAAACTGCAAGGTCAAAACTCCACAGTAGTCCATTGCTGCAGATTCCTCAGTGATCAGAATGGTGGACCCTGGCCGGTGTGACACTGGGTGGGCTGATGGTGCTTTTGGTGGTATTTACGGAGAGGATCAAGCCTAGGATTCGAACGACAAATATCCAACAAGAAGGAGAAATGACCAGCAATGATACGGCTATCACGCATGTATATTAGATAATTATATTACAAAGTTATATATATATAGTGCTGTGTTGTGTAGTCCATCTTGGCACGTGGGCTTCAGAAACGTCATCTTCGCCGACTTCAGCCAGTGAGCACGGAGGGCGGCTCAACTGAAGACATCTTAATGCACAATGTTGTGTTCCCAAAGATCTTTGAATGGTTCACTTCACTGGCTAAAGTGCAAACACGACAAGCCCTTAGGAAGAACACCCCGGTGTCTCGCCCACCCTTCGTCGTCCTCGGTGCTGCGGGAGGGGCATCGAGGAAGTCCACCTGGATGTACCTCCGGAGGGCTACTAGGAACAAGAAGCTACTAGGGGCTCCTGGCATTGCTACTAGGAGCAAGAACCCTAGTAGGGGCTCCTGGCATCGCTGCTAGTTACAAGAAGCTACGATCGGGGCTCCTGGCCGTACTACGAACGGAGCGATCGGACGCTACGAACGTAACAAGGGCATAGCACCTCCGGAGGTCCCACCACGCTTTCACATCATCCAAATTGGTCAAATCCAAGCGCTCGGTGCCTCGGTGGTTTTCGAGGGGTGAAAAAGGAGGGTGGGTTCGACCCCGGGTGTTGATGGAACGGAGTCTCCAAGTAATGTCAATATGACATCCATGCGGTCCATGCGGTCTAAGTCTAAGTCTATGCGAATTGTTCGAACAAAATCTCAGATCATCTAAGAACGTGCCATATTCTGGCCGACCCTGCATCAACCCTCCATGAAACAAGAATGATAACCTTTCTTGTTCAAAAATGTCTTTGAACCATACTCTGTCCATCTTCAAGTATTGAACATGAAACAAATCGCCCAACCCAAACAATGAATCTGATTTTTTAAGGATCCCCCTTAAAATCAAGGGTGTGGGGGTGGGGGCCGAGCCCCGGTCCCTCCGGCTCCGCTCCGGTTCCGAGGTTCCGAGGATCCGGTCCAAGGCGTGCTGCAGCTGATGTTCGGTGATCTCCGCCCCCGACTGTCCTGAGAAGTTCTAAACATGTTTTGAAGCATGTATCTATAATGTGTATATATATATTAATATATATATATATAGTTCTACCAATTATGTGTGTAATATATTGCATATAAAGAACAGATGCCAGGAAATTGACACTAAATTCAAACCTCCGCGCCCGAGACTGTGGATCATGCAATTGGAAGGCTTGGACTAATCAAACTTAGTTATGGCCAGTGACCCATCTTGGAATTCAGTCCAAACCTCGGCTTCGAATTGCCACTTCTTTTTGAAGGAGTCCTTCAGTGGGAGCTTCTTGGAGGGACATTGAGGGGGGGGGCAATATTCTGCGCTGCCGAACAAAGCAAACTCACTGTGAGGTGACTGTTCGGTTGGCGTAGCGCCGGCATCCAGCATCACCACTCAATAAATTGCAGCTAAAACCACTTGGCTCGATGAGCGAAGGGCATTCTTGAAATTGTCCAGCTATGGCAAGCAATCCAGCATTCAAGTTATAAAATATTATATACCAAAAAAAGAATTGAATCCAACATGAAGGGATCAACACCCACTTTTAGATCTATTTGCAGTATTTACAGTTAGTAATAAGTACCTTTTGAGGTTTGCTCCTGCCTCACGTCCTCCCCCGTAACGTCGAACGAGCCTCGATTGTTGTTGCTCAGGCTGTTGGCCAAGATGGTGCGAAGGCTTTCCCGGTCCTTTTGGCTCCAGCTCTCGATGCTGCTGTAGGAGGTGAGCGTACTGAAGATCAGGAGCTGCTTCGCATTCTCGCCCATGCCCTTTTCGCGCTGCGCTTAGCCGAAGGGCTGCTACGCGCACGCTCCCAGAAGAGAGTGATCCGCTCCGGACTATCGGACCAAGAAACCGCCGGGCACCCATCCAATGATGATGAGGATTTGGGGAAACCTACAGGATGTCATTTGATGAGGATTTGAGGATGTAATTTGATGATGATTTGGACTTCTCTTTCAAATTGGAGTTCAAATTGGAAACCTACGTACAGGGAATCCAACGTGACCTCAGCGACTTCTCTGAAGTCCAAGCGGAATAGACTGTCGGGAGCTGGATCAGTGGTGTCCGGGGTAGGTGGCTCTCCACCATGGATCAAGAAACACAGTACTAACATCTACCAATACATTGGTGAATCACAAATGCCAGTGACCCTTCAGAAGCTCACCACCTGTGAAACCAAAGCGCAAAACTACTGTGTGGAGGACCCGAGGACATGCAAAAAAATGTGGCCATACATGGCCATACCATATGGAGCACCCCTGGCGCAGGACCCAAGTTACCCGGCCCCAGAAAAAACGAAATGCCCTGGCCTGGGAGATGCAAATGATATTCACCAGGAGGTGGAACCAAGAGACTGCCGCCCCATACGATTTAATGAGACCTCGGAGTGGCAGAGACCCATGCTTTTCCTAACGGGGTGACTCCGTGCCTTTCGAACAACAAAAAACATCAAAAACCAGCGACCAAAGACGGCAACCGGCGACCAATGACACTTGGCCGTCGACACTGATCCAAGTGTCGAATGGGTCAGGCCGGCAGAACGGGTCGGCCTTTCAGAAGATTTGTTGGCATGCAGCGTATCGCTACTGGAATCATATGGAATCATGCTGCTGCCTGCTGCCATTAATATTACTGTTTGGTCTTCGTGGTTCTTGGTCTTGGTCTTCTTGGTGGTGATGCTGGTTCTGGTTCTGGTTCCGGATGTTCCGGTTCGGGGTTCGGATTTTTCTGCTGCTGCTGCTGCTGCTGCTGCTGCTGGAGGTGGTGTCATGCATATGTTTAACACAATCTAACCAACCCCCTTTTCCTGGAGTGGGGAGAAGGAAACGTCCTTCTGGAAATCACATTCTTTGCGAAACCCCAAGAAGAGAACACCTTCCAGGTCGTGTTTCCCGCGACGGAAATGTTTCACAATGTTTCACAGTTCTGTATAGCTTTGCGTTCTGGACCTAGCGCTGATGTTAGATAGAAACACATTTGATGGAAATCCTGCACCCACCATGCGGAAAAAAAGATGCGAGGAACTTAAATATACAACTTTTGGGGCGAATCCAAGAGACTCGTCATGAGTGCAATGCAATCAGCACCTCAGCACACGAAACGCTGGGCTCGTGGTCGAGCACAAAGGAAAAAAGAGCCAAAGAACCAAACAAACCAATCGAACCACCAAGCAACCAACAAACACAACTATGGATTGCATGTCCTCATGCACTCGAGGTTGTCAACCAAGCAATGTGAGGCAAAGAACCCGCGGAGCTACCAACCAAAGCCCTCAATTCAATGGAAATAAGGCAACCCAGCAGCCACGATTTGTCAACAGACCAAAGAAATATAAAATCAACTGGCTGATCAAACCAGCAGCAATTCATCAACCAAATAGAACTAAAATAGAACTAAAACTAACAAACACATACAAGCACGCACCCAACGAACGAACCCTGCCAGCGAAGCCAGACCCCACCAAAAGTCCTGTCATCAACCCAGGGGCTGGTCTTGATCCTCAGCTCCGGCAAGCCGGCGCCGCTGGGTTTCCCTTGCGCCACATTCAGCTGCAGCCAGGTGAGCAAGCAGAACAGTACCGCTGTCGAGAAGCAGGCCATCCTCGACGAAGGTGTCATTTGGGAGGGAGTTTTTACAGTACATGTTTTTACATTAAGAAGAAAGGAAGTGCAAAAACATGCAACAACATACCAAGGACAGAATGACCATCTTCAAGTTCATGTCCACACCTATTGTCATCCTAAGTCCATGTCTGCTCTCTTCAGATGAACGACTCGGATTCCGGATCGACCGGCCACGCCGACCGACCGAGCGAGCTGCGAGGTGCTCGGCCGGGACGGAGCGCACGGACGTCACCCGTAACCCGCGCTCGGACGGTCGCGCTCGGAGCATGACACGATTGGGCCTGTTGGTCCAAGGATTTGGTTCTGGATGACTGGATGGTTCAACCCCCATCGGGCGGCCACCCTCGGGCACCGGGCCATTTGGGCCTTACGACCACCTACGACCACGCGAGGTTCCAGGCGGTCCTCCACAGAAAGCTCGGTATGTCGTTCCAGTCCAAGTTCTGGCTCAACTCAAACAGGTTGGCTGCCGGCCGCCTTCGATGGTAGGAGCCAGGGAAGCTCTCGTCCAACTTCTCGAGGAAATAGATGGCCGTGTTTCTCGTCCTGAAGCATCTGCGACCAAGACCATCCAAGAACCTTTTAGAAAAGGCATGATAAGGTCATGATCTCCCATGTCTTACCCAAATACTGAAGGGATCGTCACTTTTTGCCAATACCGATTCCTTGCTCTCACATGCATTCAAATGTGTTCAATGTGTTCCCTGCCGTTGCAGTTTCCTCTCCTGCCCTCGGCATCAGCTTTCGCGGCCTCCAGTTGTTTCCTTGCCTTCACCTTGTGGTAGTGAACGTGTGCCGCGACATCCAATATTTGCACCTCCAAAATCCTGGACGGGACCAAACGAGATCTGGCGACGCACAGCGACCCAGGAAGCCGTCGCTCTCCGGGCTTGGGCAACGGCGACGACGCCATTTGACCACCAAATCCAGGCAAAATGACCCCACGACTTGCAGGGGGACGACAAGGATTGCCACACGCCAGGAGATCGAGTTATCAACAAAGGCCTCTCTTCCATGAAACCCAGAGGTAGCGTCTGTCTGTGGATCCAAGATGGCTGCAGCTCGTAACTGCGAGCTGGTCTTTTTCTGGAGCCGCGACGCGAAGGGTCCCAAGGTACCCGGTCGAATCCGGTGAAAAAATCTGTGAACCCCTTTACCCTTACCCCTATAGAGAATTTCAGAAGAAAAACGCACTATATATATAGACCATGTGTCATTTGCTTTGTTGCACAATGACACTGTTGCCCAAAAAAGTCTTAGTGAAACTACGTGAAACTGCCTGACTAATCCAAATGCTTCAAAAAGGACCGTAAACGTTGACCTCTTTAGCCTGCTTTCATCCACGAAACCATCTCCCCAAGCTTCATCACCAAGAGGCCGCAGCAACAAAAGGGCACTGAGGCTCAGACTGTTGCTTAGGATATTTACAGGTAGCGACCTGGTCGCAGCAATGGCCAAATGCATCCAATGCCATGCCGACGCACTTCTGCTTACTCCACACACCAGCTGGGTGCGTAATCCGGTTTCCCGACTAAAGAAAGAAACACATGAAACTTTGACGAAGCGATGTCATGCTCAACCGAACTCTACGGACAAAGGAGTTGAGCATCATGCCACAATTTCTCCCCCTTTTGTTCGATGTAGATCTTCATCCAGCCCCCTTTTGTTCGACCTTCTCTTCCTACACTCTCCCAGGATTCGCCCAAACCCGGCCAAGCTCTCCAACGGCTCGGCCGAGGTGCAGGAAGTCCGTGTCAGCCGTGCAGTTGGTTCCTCCCAACGAAATTCCATCGCATGAGAACATATCCTGCGGCGCTTCGGTGAAGGGATCGGTTGGAGATGGGTTCTCCTGACCGGGGGTGCAGTCCGCAGTCTGCATGTCATCTTGGAGGTACAGCTGGCAACCGTACTTTACCTATTTGGCATCGTTCCTCATGCAAGTCTTTCATCTTTCAAGACAGCTCATGAGGGAATGGACAAGATTGGCGTCTTGAAGTGTGTTCATTGAAAGGATACACATGAACACCAGTACTTGGACTCCAAGGCTTGATCGTGGCGACAATCTACTCACCGTCTTGTGAGGGAAAAAGAAGGTGTGATAGAATCGTGCTCTGCTCAAGCAAAACAATTGTTTGGCCACGCTTGGTTGGAAAGCTGAGGGTTCTACCCCTTCAATGGAATTGCACACCTATGTCACTGTGACAAGGGTGACCATCCAACATCCAACCATACCTCGTTGGTCCAGACTGAGAGCGGTCCGCCAGGACGACATCCACCAGCAATAGCCATATCAAGGCCTGAAGTTTGCAAATGGCTGACCAGCGAGGCAACTTCGTAGGCACACAAATAACAATCCTCCAAACAAAAACCAGAATGGGAAGTAGTTCCCAACACGTGTCATTGGCAGCTTGACTCTGCATGTTCACCTTTCCATCTGTGTAATTCCTATACATAGATTTTGAGAAATACAACTATCCAAGTTCCTCTCCGCACGGTCCAAGAACATGAATCTTAAATTCAACGATTAATACATTATGATTCGTTATGATTATGATCAATTATGTTCAATCCTCGTGAACTTCCTGCTATCACTTTATCAACATTGCCCTTCTCCCACCACTCACGAGGTGTCCACCCTCCAGCTTACCGAAGGCTTCCGCGAGGGCGACCGCCCGTCTTCGCCCGTTGGGCCGACCGCCTCTGAAGTGAGCCAGGTGCGCAGGCGCCGGGAAAAATCGTGGTGGTCTGGGAAGATGAGGCTCCAACGCTCCAGGAGGTAATGCTTGATGATGTAACCTCGATCCAGTAGTACACTCAGGATAAAGTACAGGGGTGGGTCAAACTCCCAACGCCAAGGGTTCATTGTTGGCCCACCTTTTCATGACCTGGTTCTTTTCTTCCTGAAGCAGTGTAGCCTAGCACGGACTCCAGTTGAGCACCTCGGATATCTAGAGATTCTTTGGACTCTCGGACGTGCGGACGTGCTGTTGAAGGAGCACAGCGTGATGCATGAAACGTGGAAAACAAACCAGGGCCACACGATATGGCCGAAATCGGGATCGGCAAACATCGGCTCAGTGTGCAGCTCAGCAATCTCAAACTATATTCTGCAATCAAAAAACAATGGAATAGTGGGTGTGTATGTATATATATATATATAGGGAGGGACCCTGAATCAAATCTCAATCAATAGCGTGTTGGTCTAATCTCCTTTTTCCACGATTTTGGGCTCTCCTGTGACAGCCTGGTAGAAGTCATCTTTCGTCCGTTACTCTCTTTCTTCGCTTTCTGATTCCGAGCACCCACTTCAACTTTACAGTGTGGAGTAACAGTTCATGGTGGAGCCAACCGGGCGACCAAAGGAGCGTTGTGGAGATCAGACCCACCCGTTCAACCACAACTGATCTCTTCTTGAGCCCAGAGTTGGGAACTGGTCACACTCCTTTGCAACCATGAAGTTCCATTCAAAAGCGTCAGGTGTGCATGCAGAATCTACAGTATAAATAAAGGATACAAAGGACCATCTTGAAACAGCTTCAGGGAAGCAAAATTAATGTACAAAAGAAAATACACATTCGTTTATGTTAAGGTTTTCGCTATGTCTGGCGTACAATAAACAAGTGTGCAGAAAATGGAATGAAGCGCAAAATAGATGGGTCCTGCCAAAAACGTGTCCTATCAAAATGAACATCATCCTGCTTCTGTCGAATCAACATCTCAGCGGGATAATACTCACTCCCCCGAATTCCCATTCCCGAATTCTGTTCTACTCCGCACCAAATTCGCATCCATCATCTGTCAGTGGTGTCTTTTTGGGAAGAATAGATGGGTCGGTTTGGTACCATTTACCTACAGTATGTCATCTGTTTTGGAGAACACTCTGATTCGCATCCATCCCCGAGTCGCGTCCCGCAAAGATGGAGAACACCGGCACGGTGCAGGCCAGCGCCACACAGCCGTCGAAGGTCACCTGTGTGAACCGGATCTGGGCGTGGGACGTGTGGAGGACTGTGGGTGTTCAGACTGAAGGCGCGAAGGAGACCACCCTGACTGCAGCTGAGACTCTAGTAGTAACAAGTGCCACGCTAGTAGTAACAGGTGCCTTACTAGTAGTAACAAGAAGCTATTAGAAACAATAAGCTAATAGCTTCTTGTTACTATTACAAAATCTGACTGACTGGACGATTTGGATGAGACTTGAATCGCGCTTGAAAATGGTGGAGAGTCTGTCCCCAATGGGTGTGGGGCCAAGCAGGGTTTGCTTGGGAAGAGAGACTTGTGAGCAGGTACCAGGGACGTGTTGTCCCTGTGGGTCCCCAAGCGCGTGGCTTCTGTGAGTCCTTTCAATCGCACCTGGACTGTCCAGTGAATAGATGTACAATAAGTGCCATCCACCATCTACCTGTCAGGATCAATGGTTACTGTATCTCTCTCAAAAGAACAATTTGCATAAGTACCGTTCTTGATGAGGAATCGGTAGATTATAGTACACCGCAGTACAGTAACTGTATCATTGATCACTCCGAATCGCCGATTCAGACGCATGTCCAAGCCGTCCAAGTTCCTTTGAAGTGAAGGTTCTGGGATGTTCAGCACCATGGTGAAACACCAACCACACAGTCATGGTCTCTCAATTTGGCAGAATCTGTGACATCTCATGTGGGTTTGCACCACACGGTCAGACGGTACTTCTTCGCTTTTCTGAATGGGTGTTTCATAGGTTTGCTCAAACATAACTACTGTCATACGTTAAACCGACCAAGCTCCAAACAATCCTTTGTTTTGCAGTGTTTGGTGTTGTTGCCCTTTTTCTTTTCATTCGAAGCTGGAGTCTTGTCTACTTGCTCATGTAGCCGCCTGGTGCCAGCGGTTGCGGATATCTACCACCGGCAACGGCGGGGTCCTGCTGTTGTTGACCTGGGCCCGTCGTCGCAAAAACGGCCGGACTCGTCGCCAAGGATGTGTGTGGCCATGCATCTCGTGCGACGGAGCCAAGGATGTGTGTGGATTCCAAAGATTTGATGTAAAGGTTCGAGTGATTTAGAGATCAACCACAAAATCAGTGGCTTGCAAAGGTCTGTAAAAGTGGCACTTGCAGAAGGAGGGTTAAAGAGTGGTCCGTGGTCCACATCAGCTCGTGGCAGCCTAAACTAAACATCCCATACAACAATGATAATCTCCCAAAAATTGCGATCATTTGTTCCTACACCTGGATTCCTTCCAAATCCAACTGGAGGGAGCCCAAATCCCCAAATCCCCTGCTTGTACAACAAGGTTCAAATGGCTGCCCTGCCTTCACCACGTTGTCAATGGCTCTCTTCAGCGCTTGATTGGTGTCCACATCGCTCTCGTCAGCCCAAGGGTCGATCTCCACAAAGGGCTCGGTTTCACACCCAGCGCCTCAGCGAGAACAGTGCAACCGCTGGGGGAGAGCCAAGAATGGACTCAAACCCAATTCGTTGCAGAGGGTTTCACTATCAAATACAAGCCCTGAATGGGGAGACGGCCCGTGGTTCTTGGTGACGGGTCCTGAAGTCCAATAGGATTCTGGTCGAAGACGCACGGCTCGAGCGGTCTGCTCGGTCAACCTGCGTTGGATGTTCGACCAGCAGGTTTGGGAGTTCTCGATGTAGACCCCCAAATAGATAGAAAGGTAAATCCCCACTAAGCATGTTTGGGGACCCCTATATGGTGCCTTTGCCGATGTTTTCCTACAATGTTGCAAGTGAGGCAAGCACACACACACACAGACTGATGCCCTGAGCACAGGGGCTCGTCGTCAAAGGGGCTCAGGTCGCTTTAAAGTGTTCAATCGAGCCAAATTCGTCCAAATTGCTTAGCAAAATTAGTCCAAGGGTCCTTTTGGGGCTTGTGCTTTTTGTGCACATGTACCTTCCTGCGCTCGAACATCTGAATCTAGTACCTTCCTGAATGTTGTGGACGCCACTTGGATCCGGTCACGAAAAACCGCACCGTATTGGACCTCGCCGTATGGACTTGTCACCCGCACTCTGCTCCAGGCGGCACTCCACACACATAATCCTGGATGAGACCATGGCATCTGCATGTGGATTGGATGTGATTCACCCAATGGTCGCTTTGTTTGCTTCGCTTCTTCTTCCCATGTCGCTGTTTGGTCGTCCTTTCAGTCCTCTTTTTTCAGTCCTCTACATCCGGAGGGTCCGATGGACTGGACTGGTCCCAGACGGTCCCTCATCGACTCGATGATGCGACAGTGCGCCATCCAGTTTCTTCTAATGCATGGAAGTGAACACACGAGAGATCAGCTTGCTTGCCATGTCCGTCATCTTTGCTGTTGTCTAACGCTTCAAGCCAACATGTTGCACAAATGATTCATGTCTTTGAGTGGCGGGCCGCTTCCCAGCACAAATGCCCGAAGGCATGGTTTTGTCTGGTGAAAATGACCTTCCAACAGTCCATTGCCACGTGCTTCTTGAGATTTGTTGGGGAGGGGAGCAAAACTAGTATATAATTAGTAAATGTCGGATTTCATCTCCAGAGAACGATGACATGACATGACAATAAAAATGACATTGCTGGACACAGAGTGACCTGTGCAGCAACGGAGGAGGTTCATCTTGGCTTCGTGGAAATCCGACCCAACGCAAGACATAGAGCTTGCAAGGATATACTAGTCGACAGAGTGTTGCCACCAAGAACTTGGCCCTTCCAAAAAGGTGGAAAGGTCATGAACCGTCAACTCCGAATGACATAGTTTTTGGTTTTTGGTTCTGAATGGTCAGTTTTACTCGCAGGGTGTTGCAGTAGCAGTCAAGAGTAGATCATTGGGCGATAGCCACTCTTTGTTTCTTTGGACCGAGGTGCTGGAACTGCTTGAGCTGTTTGCTGGGCCCCGGACAGGCGGCTGCTCCGGCTCCTACCATCAGCGGACGAAGTCGGTGGTTTCGTAGACTTCAGCTTTGGTCCCCTCTGATCTGCTTCTAAAGGTCCGTGGACAAAGCTGAAAGTTCTAAACCTGGTAGTCTGCTGCAGACCGTTCCCCAAAAACATGGACACTCACAAGTCCTCTAGAACTCTAGCGACTCTAGCGTGTAGACGGTCTGAGTTCATGTGGATTTCTTGGCTACTTCGTTCGTGACGGAAGGTCAGCGGTAAGCAGTGAACTTGAGGCCAGGGCGAGAGGTCGAAAGCTAGCCGAATCGCACCAGATGTACTAGTTACATAGTCGGCAAAACATGTAGGGATTACATGTTTTGGGAGGAAGGTTGCTATGTACATACTTTGCGCTAAAGAATGTAAATGTGACATCGCTGACTGGGAAGGGTACATTGGAACAACCCGGGTGCACTCGTTGGCAGGCACGAAGATGCGTGATCGGCAAATCTGGGGGGGTAAATTTACCCTCCGCTTTTGTATGCCTTGTGCTGGAAAGAGGGGTAAGCATTTCTGACATCATACGGACTGTACATACACTAGGGCGTCCGTAGTGTAGGAGAAGCACGGGTAAAAGGTATATGGAATAGAGTGTCTTGAGGAAATAGCCGGTGTATGGTTATTGCAAATCTGGGGGGTAAATTTACCCCCCCGCTTATGTATGCCTTGTGCTGGAAAGAGGGGTAGGATCCCCCTGTACATAACGGGGTGACCTTGGACACCCCATTCTATAGCTATAAAAGTGGGGACGCGGAGTTTGGTGTTACAAAATGCTAGGACCTGGAACAAAAAGGTATCTATAAAATGAAGATATCTCTAGTGATGATAGAAATGGGGAGTCTGTTTCAAGTCAAGCTGAAATTGCTCTAGAGAATGCCTGGCCCAACCCTCAACCTCTCAACAAATAAAAAATACAAAACACTAAAAAACATGTTGTAGTGCACTCGTCTTGGATCATGAAAATATAGGGTCAGCTGATCCAAAAGGATCTTTGCCGGATGCAGCCATTGTTCACCAAAAAGTGCTTCCACTACAAAATTACTATCGTTCAAAAAGGCACCTCTACAAAATGACAGCATGCAACCTTGCTCTTTGCAACACACTTGAAATGGCTTCCACTACAAAATGGATTTGGTATGACTTGGATCCAAACAAGGCTCCACTATAAAATGTCCGCACAAGCAAATGATGTCATCATGTTCATGCCCAAAATTGTCACTACAAAATGATGGTGGCTGGTGACATTTGTTCAATGTCTCTGAGCGAAACACTTAAATCACTACAACATGCAAGCACACGAGGTCATCATGGGACACAATTTTTATATAAAAAACTGATTTATATAGGGGCTCGAGCACTCCCATTCTGTAGTGGAAATGCACTGGGGGATGGGGTAGGCATTTCTGGCATCACAAGGACTGTGCATACACTAGGGCGTCCGTAGTGTAGGATAAGCACTGGTAAAAGGTATCAAGAATAGAGTGTCTTGAGGAAATAGCCGGTGTATGGTTATAGCAAGCCTGGGGGGTAAATTTACCACCCGCTTATGCATGCATTAGGTTAGAAATAGGGGTAAACAACTTGTAACGGTGAAGTACAAGTCCTATGCAGCAAGCAGCAGCCAGCAGCAGCAGCAGCAGCAGCCGCCTGCAGCCAGCAGCCAGCAGCAACCACCAACCAGCAGCCAGCCAGCAGCACCACGCAGCAGCAGCGCAGCATCAAGCCGCAGCAGCAGCAGCAGCAAGCACCACAGGCAGCAAGCAGCAAGCAGCAGCAGCAAGCAGCAAGCAGCAGTAGCAGCGGCGTCGTCAGCCGCAACAAGTAGCAAAGCAGCAACTACAAAAGCGGCAACCAGCGGCAGCAGCAAACAGCAGCAGCAAGCAGCAGAGCGGCAGCAGCAGCAGCGCCCTTTACACCAAGCCACCGTTTACACCCAACCAACCACGTTCAACCAACCCCCTACACGGCGCAGCTGGGAGTTGAACTGCGGGGGGGGGGGTTAGCTTGATATATCAATCTTTAAGGCACGCAGCCCCTCCCACCACAACATTGCTAAAGCAAAGAAGAACTCAGCTAGCATGCTAGCTTTCGTGATCAATCGAAAGGTCATGCCCCCAACGAAGGATCTTTCAAGTCTGTGCTACAGGAAGTGTATATTGTTTCTAACAGCTTCTTGTTACTACTAGTAAGGCACTTGTTACTAGTAGCGATGCACTTGTTCCTAATAGCGAACATTGTGACTACTAGTAAGGCACAAGGACCATGTGGCATGGTGCGTTAGGACCATGTTTATGGACGTGGAAGGCCTGTTGTACGTAGCGTCTCCGAATGTTTCAGGCAAAAGAGCAGAGGGGGAAAGGGAGCGCACCCAAGTTGGCCAACTCAGTGCAAAAGTTCCTTTTAAAGTTGGCTGGATCGAACAAAAAAATATGTTGACTCTGCATAGAACAATCGGATTGAGAGAAGGCTCACCTTGGCTCACCTTGACTACTGCAGGGCGGCTCACCTGGAAAGCTGAAGCTGGGACTCACAGAACCGCAAGCGCCTCATCTCCGGCATCGCTTTCAAGCGGCTCCTCATGCGAACCAACAGGTCTGAGTTCAGCTTTGATGAACAAATACGCAAAGAAAAATGGTCAAACAAATATGTCAATTAACATATTCTTTTTCCCGAAAGCATTGCGAAGGGTTCTTCCGGAAAATCCTTTGAACACTTACACTTCGACACTTACACTTACACACACACACACTGGAAGAGCGAAAGCATCCAAGTGCGAAGTATGCCAGTGTCAAAGTATGCAAGTGGAAGTATGCAAGCATGATATGCAAGGGTAAGTATGCAAGCGTGATATGCAAGGGTGAGTATGCAAGCACGCAATGAGTATACAAGCATGCAATGAGTAGGCAAGTGTGAGTATGGAAAACTAGCACGGGAGATGTCCTAATGAAAAAACATTTCCCCACTTTATAAATTCTCTCTTAAAGGCGGAGTGCGGGACGAACAGCGTCAACCGAAAGTGCAACCCTCTGCGGAGATCGTGCGTGTCGAGTGCGCGAAATGCAGGCGAGAGTGCGATTTG